AGGAGAAGGCAGCCCCTCCCGCCGGGAGGCAGGAAGCGGCCAGGTGGGCGTCCTCAGGAGGAGCTGCCGACCGAGGCCGGCCCAGGGAGGAGCCAGGCGGGGCGGCGCGCAGCAGTTCCGGACTCACTTTCGTCGCAGTCTCGGGCACCGCGGGGAAGGGCGCGAAGCCCAGCCGCTGCCCGGCCGGCCGGGGCGATGCAGCCACCACCCCGCAAAGTAAGTGCCCTTTCCTGGGTCGGTCCGGTAAGGTCAAGGGCAGAAAAGAGTCTGGCTGGGCTTGCGGGCAGGTAGCGCTTCTCTGACTCCGGCCAAAGACGCCGACCAGGGGAACTCTGAGAGCCCCGCGACCGGCAGTCCGAGGAGACCTCGGTTCAGACGGGCTCCTGCTTCCCGCCGCCTCGGAAAAAGAAGCTGCGACTTCAAGCGTCTCCTGTGTCCTGAGGCGAGCGCCGGCTCGTGAGCCCTTGCGCAGAAGTTGAGGCAGAAAGTGTCCGCCTCGCTTCTCTCCTTCTGGGCAGGCCGGCATCCTCGGCGGGGTCTCTCCTCCCGAGAGCTGAGCCTCTCCTCCCCCTTCCGCTTTCCTTTGCCTCGCTTTTTCTAAGCAACTTAAACAAGAGCAGGCAGCTTGGTTGCTGCCTTCCAGGTGTTCTGGAGCACAACTCCCGCGATCCCCGAACCACTGGAGATGCTGGCTGGGGCTGCCGAGAGCTGCCATCCAGAGAGGGGGAGCCAACCCGATCCATAAGCATCATCCTGAAGTTGGGTTGTTGTTGGTTTTTTCGGTCGGGGGCTTGGCTGGCCATACCATCTGGGCAGCTTCTGCAGAAGGGCTCCCCAAGTTAGGACACAAATTATGAGGCACTAACTGGGGCTCATTCCTTCAGCTGCCCCTGCATTCCTGAGCCAGCGGGCCACTCAGGGTGTTGTCAGAATACTTAGCACCTATGTTGGGATTTAGTGTTCGAGGTAACTTGGCTTAAACTCATCATTTAGTTCTTTCCACCACATATAGAAGATGCAGAAAGAATGAAGTGTCCAGGGGTTACTCACTGATTTCTTGAGGGGGACTATGGAGCCATGGAGTTGGTGACAGATAATCCTGCATTTGGGCAGCAATGCTCTATACTGGTGCAGCTCCTTGAGCTTTTCCTGCAGAGCCAAAGAAACTCCTATTTGCCACAGGCCTGCTGGTACTCTTCCCTCTGTTGCTGTGCTCATTCTCTCTTTGGTTTCCACAAACTTGCAAGTCGCTGGGTGTCACTGGTTGGTTACTGTTGGTGGATGTGTGACCATCTGCTCCTTTTTGCAGCATTGTAGGTGCCTCTACATACAGTACTCTTCGCTGGGTGTCACTGGTTGGTTACTGTTGGCGGATGTTTGACCATCTGCTCCTTTTTGCAGCATTGGAGGTGAGGGTCATAACATACAGAACTCTGTTTTATTGGCAGGTTAAGCTGACCCAGGAGGTGAAGGTGCATTTAATAGAACAACTGACCAGCTTACAGAATAAGCAACAGCGAGAGTTGGAGCTCCTAGAGGACATCAGGTAATGAGCTGAGTCTGTAGGAGACCAAAAGAAGGTGAGAACAGGAAAGGCAGAGAAGGACTGGCCTTCAGTGTGTGTCCCCGGGTCCCTTTTCTCTCTTGTTAAGCAGCTCAGGGAGTGAGTTGGACAGAGAAAAGTTTTTTCTTTGCACGTTTCACATCTTTGAGAGGGGAAGCTGGTTCTTGTGGATAAACCAAGCCCTGACAGCTTCTGAGATCCCACTATTTCTTCCTCAGGAGACTTGCCTCAAGCCAGGGTAGTTTCTCACCTATTTATATCCATCCATTTCTAGCATCTGTGTTAATTCTGTACTTCTGACACTAGTCACTACATTGATCTTGCTGATATTGATCTGCCACCACAATTCTGGGGCTCATATTTATTTATTTACAGTATTTTTTAGCCGCACCATTACCAGTGGCTTTACATGAAAGCATCAAATTTCCTTATACCTGTAAAGCAGGTAAAAGCTGAGCAGCCTGAGTTTCAAACTGGGATCATTGCGTTATAAGATCGTGGCATCTCAGAACAACAGAAAGTTAGTGCACACAGAGAGGGAGAGAGAGAGAAAGAAAGTTCAAATTATATATATTTGCATTTGAGATCTTCTAGAACAGGCGTCAGGGAACTTTTTTACCTTTTACCCCCCCCAAAAAAAAAATTATATACGCCGACATTACACCCTTGATTCGAAAGGAAGGAAATCATACATTATTTGATTTAAAAATATTATTGACTCTACACAGGCTGTGTACCGAACTAGCAGGATGCACCAAATTTGATAAAGATGTGCACTATATTTGCTGGAACACATTGCACTCCAGCCATGGTGTGGTATAGGGAGTAGTAAGGTGTCCAACGTGCCTAGCAAATTTCATTAAATTTTTGCTAGCTTGCAGAGGATTTAATCATCATCAATGGAAAACTCAGCAGTGGCCAGAGGACTGGAAAAGATCATCTACATCCCAATCCCAAAGAAGGGCAGTGCCAAAGAATGCTCCGACTATCGCTATGCGATTTCGTCGTTATGTGGTGCACTCGTTAAGCGAGGCACCACTGTATTTGCATTTGAGATCTTCTAGAACAGGCGCCAGGGAACTTTTTTACCTTTTACCCCCCCAAAAAAAAATTATATACGCCGACATTATACCCTTGATTTGAAAGGAAGGAAATCATACATTATTTGATTTAAAAATATTATTGACTCTACACAGGCTGTGTACCAAACTAGCAGGTTGCACCAAATTTGATAAAGATGTGCACTATATTTGCTGGAACACATTGCACTCCAGCCATGGTGTGGTATAGGGAGTAGTAAGGTGTCCAACGTGCCTAGCAAATTTCATTAAATTTTTGCTAGCTTGCAGAGGATTTAATCATCATCAATGGAAAACTCAGCAGTGGCCAGAGGACTGGAAAAGATCATCTACATCCCAATCCCAAAGAAGGGCAGTGCCAAAGAATGCTCCGACTACCATACAATTGCACTCATTTCACACGCTA